CCCATGGGTAGTTTTTTGTGGATTCTTCCGTAAACACCAGAATAAAGCTAGAGAAGTCCCCTTAAATTGGGTCACTGTTCAGGCGAGATCTTTTTTTTCCTTCCACGTAACATATGTGTTCGCACAACCCGAAATGTGGGGAACTTACAGCATATCGTAATGCTCATTAGCAAACATTGTAAGTCCGTATTCTCTCTTCTATTTTCTGTTTACTTCATGATAAAATATAAATATGAAAGGAGAGTAATAAATGGAAGAAAGAAACAAATCGAGAATATTAGATATTACGTTAATTCGTTCAACAAGAATGGAAAATAAAATTCAGTTTCCCGACTATGTTTATTATTTTCTTTGCGAAATTGTCCAATCTGGACTTACAAGGTATGCTAATTAGTATGACGATATCTAAGCTGAGGCGATGTCTAACTGGAGAGATATCTAGTAGACCAGCAATGGACGAACATCTACTTCTCGTCACAAAACATGCACTATGCTCACGAGACTAATGACTTTAGCAGTTGCCACACTTGCAAACACAAAACAATCATCAACTGTATTATTAATCGATCCGTATCAATCGATTAATGAATTTAATAGATAATATATTAATTTATCACTTTTGATTATCGTCTATCCCCAATGAGAATCCTTCACATTGCCTTTGCTACTTCCTCATTCAATTCCCATCGCTCTGCTACTGCTCTAACACAATTTGTCTTTGTTGTTTTGCCTAACTCTTCCCCTTTCATATTTTTCTCTTCTTCCTTTGGGCTTCGCCATCTTCCCTCCTCCGTCACCAGAATCTGATCCGCTCGCAACTTAGTTCTTCTTTGATCAGCATCATCATTTCTATTGCTCTATTCATACCTTCATTCCAGTTTCAATGCACCGACTGAGATTCTTCACAGTAAATCCGACTGGGGGGTCATAGGGTACGATGTACACGTAAGCTTCCGAAGCTCGAAGCCATATATTCTGGGCTATTCGGGAAACGCCGCGTCGTTGGCTGAGAGGTCGACGTTTCGCCAGACATGTCGACGTGGCGAAACGTCAGCCTCTCAGCCAACGCTCACGGATAGCCCAGAATTTCCAAGAAGACGTTCGCGGCGTCTTCCGAATAGCCCAGAATTTATGTCATAGGGTACGTGTTCCGATGGTGACAGCTTTTCGATACTAACAACCTAGCTAATTGTAATTCAGTGGCAGCTTGGAGGGCAATACTAAGCTGTCTGCTCAGCTCGGTAGTTTTCCGTAGCTTCTTTTATATCTATCGGAAGAATGCTGGAGCAGTGCTATAAGAAACGGGTTGCAGACCGAGCGCGTCTCTTTTTTGGTCTTGCCCTCTACCCTGACTGCACCCGTATTTTCGAACTAGCCAGGAGTGTGCCATTGACTTCGACTTGTGCAGGAGCCGAGTCTTGCCATTGACTTCGACAAGACTCGGCTCCTGCACAAGGAGAACCGATACTGGCCGAGACGCATAAAAGAGGCATTAGAAATACACAGACGTCCGCAAACATCAACGCGGACGCAGGCCTCGCTCTTAGTCACGCGTGGAAATCCCTCGTTCCATCTATTCGGGACCGGCAGGGGACTGTTGAACACCGTCCGACCACGGGGACGTCTGGCGAAAGGCCCACTGTTCATCTCCGTCCGCCCACTGGGACCTCTGGCGCTAGGCCCAGGTTGGCTCAGACCGCCGGCCAATCAGGGAGACCTCTCCGCCAATCACAGCGCACCTGCCCCTCCCGAGAACCCAGGCAGGATAGTTTAAATCAACGGGCGCGTAGCGCCGCAGTGTCACTGCCCTGAGGAAGCCTGCGAAATGTCAGGCGAAACGTCGGCACCCCAGCCAACGACACGGCGTCTCCCGGATAGCCGAGAAGACATCGGTGGCCGCATGGGCCACATAAGCCGGCGTGTAGGCAGTGGAGGGACGGCTGGGGTCGTCCAAGAGTTAAGAAGCGTAGCGCGCGTGCGCGTGCGCAGGTGCGGCAGTCGGCGCGCGTGTCGGACGAGCGCGCGCGCAACGTGGCCATTCGGCGCACCTTCGGCGAGCTGTCGCCCACGTCGTCGGTGACGATGCTGCTGCCCCCGCGCGGCCGCCGCAACTCGCGCTCCTCCGGCGACTCGGTGCGTCCACGCACGATGGCAACACGGGTTGAGGAGGGAGGCGCGCACCGGGTCTCGCGATTACCAAACACGAAGGGAATGAGGTTGGGGGGGGGATGAGAATTGGTGGGGAGGCACAGGTCGGGTCTGGCGATCACCGGAGACGAAGAAGGGC